CGTGTGAGCTGCCTGGGGTCCCGCGCCCCCCGCTGTGGCTGGTGTGTCCTGCACAGCATGTGAGTCTGGCGATGGGTGGGTGGGCAGGGTGGAGTCTCAGTACCTCAGATGGCCTGCGCTCCCCTGGGCTTTTCTGTGTCCCCCTGGGCCTGCTGACCTGGGGTGGGAATGTCTCCTGTGGGGCTGGGAGTGTGGTGGGCCCCTGCCTGGCCTAAGTACCCCCGGGCCGCAGCTGTTCGCGGCAGGACGCATGTGAGCGGGCAGATGAGCCCCAGCGCTTTGCCTCCGACCTGCTGCAGTGCGTACAGCTGACTGTGCAGCCGCACAACGTGTCGGTCACCATGTCCCAGGTGCCGGTGAGTGTGGTCACCCCAGGGGCCATCGGGGGTGGCAGGGCAGGTTGGCCAGAGGCTCCCACTCAACCACCTTTGCCTGTGGTCTCAGCTTGTGCTGCAGGCCTGGAATGTGCCTGACCTCTCAGCTGGCGTCAACTGCTCCTTCGAGGACTTCACGGAGTCTGAGGGCGTTCTGGAGGACGGCCGCATCCACTGCCGCTCGCCTTCCGCTCGGGAGGTGGCACCCATCACTCGGGGCCAGGGTGAGCGCTATCCTGTGCCCCTCATTCCTGGAGAGGCTGGCGCAGTGGGTGTCACTCTCCTCCAGGGTCACTTCCAAGGGTTGATTCATGACTGTGTCACCTGCATCAGGGTTCTCCCCAGCTGTTCCCCTTGGGGTAGAGGAAATGCTGCGGGCGTAGGGCCAGAGACAATCATGGGATGGTAGGTGAGGGGCCGCAGCCCAAAGGGTGGCAGGGGCAAAGGTGTACGTGGTTGCTCCAGGGCTTGCAGAGCTGGGTCAGAGATGGGTAGAAGACCGGGCCCTCTGCGGTGACCCATCATCGAGCCCTCTGCAGGTTTTCCATGTAGTCCAGGTGGGCAGAGGGGCACCAGTCCCTCTCCTCTTGCTGCCTGGCTCAGGAAGGGGGCAAGCTGTCCAGTGTGTGACCCTGGTGACGTGGCCCATGCTGCTTTGCATGTTTTGCAGGGGACCAGCGGGTGGTGAAGTTATACCTGAAGTCCAAGGAGACTGGGAAGAAGTTCGCATCTGTGGACTTTGTCTTCTACAATTGCAGTGTTCACCAGTCGTGAGTGTTCCTGCCTGCTGTGGGGCTGCTGCACCTTCTCATCCCCAGGTCCCAGTCAGCTCTGCTCTCACCTGCTGGTGGAGGGAGAGAGGCGAGGCCACAAGAGAGTAGCAGGCCAGGCAGAGGGGTAGTGGGGCAGGGCCACGAGGGGGAGGCTGGGGTATGTGGGTTCTATTATGAGCGGGGGGTCTCTAGGCCAAGAGGGGAGCCTTCAGCTCTGTCACTGACCTGGGCATAGCAGTGGCATTGCGGCAGCAGAGATGCCCTTAACAGGCAGCAGAGTTTGGCCTTAGAGAGCAGAGGTGCATTGTGTTTCGGTTGTCCTTTTGTTTGTTGACTGACTCCAGATGGACTTGTAGCCCTACATGAAGCCCCACTGTGTTCCAGATGATGTTTCAGTTCTGGGGTGCACATTGTCTTGTCCCAGGCAGGGGGCAGAGGGGTGCCTGGGGCAGGGACAACACTGATAGGGGCCTAGGGGGACCTCAGTATCACTGGAGGAGCAGGGTGGCCAGCCTGCTGTGACAGTGGCACAGAGCAGGGGGCAGAGGCTGTAGGCCTTGTATCCAGCTGAATGAGCAGTGTCTGCAAAGGCCAGCTTGTCATGGCCCAGAACATGTCAGATTAAAGGGATAGCTTGAGGCCTGGGCACGGTCCTTGGGTAGATGTGGACCCAGCTTTACCCAGTGCCGTGGGAGCTGCCTGCTGCCTGAATTTAGGCCTGAGTTCATGAGAATGGGGTTTGGTGGTCGTTGAGGCTCTGGAGGGGAAAGCCGTGCAGAGTGGGGGACGAGCCCAGGGTGGGCAAAGAGTGCTACTCCTTCAGGTCTGGGGACTGTTCAGCCAGGAGTAGCCTCCAGCCCCAGGGAGGAGCTGGGCACTACTCAACCCCAGCCTCACCAGCCTGCCTCTCCCACAGGTGCTTGTCCTGTGTCAATGGCTCCTTCCCCTGTCACTGGTGCAAATACCGCCATGTGTGCACACACAACGCTGCTGATTGCGCCTTTCTGGAGGGTCGAGTCAACGTGTCTGAGGTAAGGCCGGTGGCCCCACCCCACCTCTGTATCATCAGGGTGCTGGCCAGGAACACCTGGGGGTGGTTAGGGTACAGGGTTCAGCCGTATGCTACGTGGGTGTGACCAGACTGGGACTGCAGGGCTCTGTTGCATGGTCTGTGAGGCTGGGGACACCCAGAGGCCAGGCCAGTGAGTTTAGAGATCATGGGTGATGGGCAGGAGCTCAGGCTTCGGAAATACTTGCTGGCCACGGCTCTGGTACAGCAGGAGCCTGGAGCGTGCAGGGCTGGGCAGAATGCCTGGTGCCTCCCTCCCCTGAGTCTCCACCTCCCCACAGTCTCCCCATCACCCCACCACCACCCTCTGCACTTGGCTTTTCTGTCCCTGGTGTAACATTGTCATCAGCAAACAAGATGGCAGTAGGGGTGCTGGGACAGGCAGCTCTGGGGGGTGCTAGGAAGCTGGACCAGGCCATCCAGGGAGGATGGGAGTTGTGAGGCAGGACCCAGGGACTTGGGGGCTGGTGAGAGGGTGCAGAGCTCTCTGCAGATGTGGCTGCCTGTGGCAGCTCAGTGGTCATGGGCATGGGACTGTGGCCAGTGGGTGGCTCTGGAGGTTGAAGCAGCCTAGTCCTCTCTGGTGCTCATCTCTGACCCCTCCTCCAGTGCAGTTCCAGTGTAGCCTCAGCAAGCAGAGGACACCAGGGTCCTGGGAAGGCTGTCATGGGCATGTTGGCTGGGGCAGGTAGCACAGGAGGTGTAGATCCCTCCTGGGTTTGTCCATGCAGAGCTGGGGGTCCAGGGCGAGTTGTGGAGGGGGCAAATTAGTTCCACGGCACTGTAGTCTAGAGCTGTATCCTGGGTATTCAAGTGGATATTGCTGAAGAATGAAGCAAATGAAACCTTTTGGAAAGACTGTCACACGTAACAAGTGCTAGGTGCCCCTTCTTCCTCTCTGGTTCTAGGGGTCCCATGGGTGACGTCATCATGCAGGAGCTCCATGGCTTCCCAGCCTGAGACCCCTTTCTCCAGCTGGGAGTTGGGCTCCCTACCTGCCCCCCTGTAACCAGAAGGATCCTCTGAGAACCCCTTTCCTGAATGCTCCCTGAGCAGGCGGCCAAGGGGCTGTCCAGGAAGTGTCCCTGTGTGGTGGTGCTGGAGAGGTCCCTCATAGCCACCCCCAAAGTAGAGCTCCCACCTGGCCTGGTGCCCCTGAGAGGTTGGGGATTTTCTTTAGGGATGCTTTTTCCTGGCCTTTCTCCACAAGTGGGTGATGTGTCTGGTGTTTCCTGGGACAGAGGTTGATGAGGTACCTTCCCAGGTAGCCTTGAGGCCCTGCTGTGGCTTTCCCCGTGGGAATGATCCTGTGGTTTCTACAAACAGGAGTTGGGTGGGCTACCAAATCTTGACTTGATCCATATAAGGAGGTGTCAGCCAGGCAGCAGAAGTCCAACCTGGGTCATGAAGGCCATCAGAACCTCAGCTGGTTCCCACACGGGCCAGTCTAGGACCCAGCACCCTGATTGAAGTGGACCCAAGTGTCCACGAGGAGGATCCCAGGCCATTGTGTGTGCTGCTGATCTTTTTTCCAACCTCCCCACTGGGGCCCTGGGGCCTTTCATGTGCTGGGGCAATGGGAACCATCAGGCCTGGTAGGGCTGTCAGACATGGCTCTGAGTTGACACCAGAGGACCCAAGCAGTCACCCTGACTGCCAGAGCAGAGCCTGGGGAGCAGGTGGCCAAAGGGTTAGTGTAGGCCTGACTCAGTGTGCCACGTGGTGCCCCGGCCCATCCTGCCTGCAGCTGTTCCCTGAATCCTGTGTGATGGGAGAACACCTGCTGGGTGTCAGGAAGATGATAGGGAAACAGAAGCCAGGTGGAGTGGCAGGACAGCCTCCCAGAGCAAAGCAGGCCACCCCTGGCTCCTCACTTTCCGTGTTTGTTGTTGGGGTGGGGAGTGGCCCAGTGTGGCCTCAGGCTACTGGGGGGCTCACACTTGGAACCTTCGAAGAATCTCAAAACCAGGCATGGTGGTGCATGCCTGTAATCCTGACCCTCAGGAGGCTGAGGCAGGAGGATCACTGTGAATTCGAGGCCAGCGTGGGCTATGTAGTGAGCTTAAGTCCAGCTTGAGCTACATAGCGAGACCCTATCTCATAGAATAAAACAAAAAAATGAATCTCACAGGCTGTCTTGGAGTGCAGAGGCACAGGTGCCTCTCTAATGACCTGGGGAGTAGTGGGTAGATATAGCTTGCTGCATACCAGCGCCTCCCTGCTTGGTCGCAGCCTGACTTGGAGCCTGTGGGCAGGGGGCACACCGCATTCCCCAGGCTCAGTGAAGCAGGGATAGCTTGCCCAGCTGACATTCCAGCCCCTCAGGCCCTGGAAATCCCTGCAGAGCCCACTGTGGGAGCTGTCGGGGCTTAGGGACTCAGGTCTGTTTTCAGCATCCCTATTTAAAGCCAGCTTCTCCTGGGGTGGCTGCCAGCCGAGCTGCAAGGGCGCTGGTCCATTGCATCAGTTATTGTTGCCGAAACACCGGCCCCCAGGGCCCTGGCTGTTTTTCTGCTGGGCTCCAGCTATTTTTACCTGCTCCCCAGGCCCCAGCTGAGAGCTGACAGCACCAGCGCCCCACTCTGGCTCCTCTGCCCCAGGGGCCTGTGCAGCAGCAGGCCAAACAGGGTTCTGGAGAGTGGGGGCTGCCTCGGCAGACGCTCACCAAGCCTGTCACCCACAGGACTGCCCCCAGATCCTGCCTTCCACCCAGATCTACGTACCGGTGGGCGTGGTGAAGCCCATCACCCTGGCTGCCCGGAACCTGCCACAGCCACAGTCGGGCCAGCGTGGGTATGAGTGCCTTTTCCACATCCCAGGCAGCCCCGCCCGTGTCACTGCCCTGCGCTTCAACAGCTCCAGCCTGCAGTGCCAGAACTCCTCGGTGAGTGGTAGATGGGGGCCAGGGCATGGGATGGGTGCAGCGGGGATAAGTCAAACAGGCATATGGCCCCCCGGCCAACCCCTGTGTCCCTCATTGTGCCCAGGTCCTGCCGGTGAGTGGGCTGTGGGGACCCTAGTCAGGGTTCCAGGCCCTGCTGACTGCTGTCTTGTCCTGTAGTCAAATGCAGACACCGCTGCCCTGTCTGCAGTACACAGTAGCCGCGAAGCCACTTTCGGCTTCACTCTAACATGATGACACCCTAAAAGTTGCTGACAAGTTCGGCAAGTGTAGTATTGGTGGTCTTTCCAGAAGCTTCCTTTGGTGGGTGACTGAGGAGTGCATGTCAGAGGCACAGTCTCAGGTCCCGCTGTCCCCACTGGTCGGCCTCAGTTTCCCCATCTGTTCAGGATGTTTAGGGCAGCGGTGGATTTGCAATGGGCTTGGGTCCAGTTTCCCACCAGGCACAGCTGATGACAGGGCTCTGGTCGCTCCCAGCCCTGGAATCCCAGAGAGGGCCCATGCTGAGGTCAGAGGCTTGGCTGTTGCAGCCCCTTGCCAACCCCTGACCTGGCAGGGTGGGCGGCCCGTGGGTCCCAGCAGATCCCTACTCAACAGTACCCCTTCCCTCGCCCAGCTGCACCCCACCTGTGTCCTCTGTGACTCTGTCACCCTGTCCTCAGTCTTGACTGTCTCTTCCTCTCCTCTCTCCCATTTAGTCTCCCTTCCGCTGCCATCTTCCCAGCCCTACATCATCTTTTCTTCCGTCATGTTGAAGGGAAGAAGGAATATCGAGAGTTTGATAGGATTCAGTTAAATTCGTGCAGATAAAATAGTGATGAATTGCCAGGCTGCCCCTTGGAGATGTGGGCTTCCTGCCTCCACCTTAAGCATGGGACAGGGCTGAGACCATCAGCAGCAGAAAGTGGGGCACAGCTGGAGCACCAGGCCCAGCCCCCCAGGAGGGGCAGTTATCCCAAGGACCACCTGGGGAGGACTGGGACAGAGCAAGTGTGACAGGCCACAGGCCAGGTGCAGGGACACACAGGGCAGGCCTGGCCGAGTCGCAGAGGAAGATGGCAGTCCTATGTCCTAGCAGGGTTGAGGGTGCCCCATGGTTGGGAGCAGCCTCCCGAGAGGCTGGGGAGGTGCTGACTGTGGGAAGCAGGGACTCCACCCTGCCAGGGCACCACATGTGGCTGCTGGAGACAGAGGCTTTCTGGTGGCTGTGGGCCACAGAATCAGGAGGGGAGACCCTGTGTGCCGGGATAGGCAGGGCTGCTGGGGTGCTTGGGAATGTTTGTCCCCCCAGCTAGCCTCTAGGCAGGCTGGTGACAGCTATCCAGCCCCAGGCTGCTCACCAACTCTCATGGGAGTTTGGTAGGCCCACCCCATGGCCAGTTTTGCAGGTGGTAAGGGGCGTGCAGGCCCTGACCCTCCATGGTGGCTGGGAGGTGATGGCCAACCACCCTCCCCAGGCCTGACCACGGTGCCTACCGCCCACAGTACTCCTATGAGGGCAACGACATCAGCGACCTGCCTGTGAACCTGTCAGTCGTATGGAACGGCAACTTCGTCATCGACAACCCCCAGAACATTCAGGGTAAGTGCGGGGGGCTGGCTTGGCTTTGGGTTGGTGGTTGTGGGGTCCCACTGACCAAGCTTTTCCCCGCAGCCCACCTCTACAAGTGCCCTGCGCAGCGGGAGAGCTGTGGCCTCTGCCTCAAGGCTGACCCTCGCTTTGAGTGCGGCTGGTGTGTGGCTGAACGCCGCTGCTCCCTGCGCCACCACTGCCCGTATGATGCGCCTGCCGCCTGGATGCATGCCCGCCATGGCAGCAGTCGCTGCACAGACCCCAAGATCCTCAAGGTAGGCCCCGCTTGCACCTGCCTGCCACCCACCTGCCCACTGCCTGGCCTCCCGGGCAGGCTATCCAGTGCTGTCCAGTGCTGGTGTCCCAGCCTCTGCCTCCCCACAGCTGTCCCCAGAGACGGGCCCCCGGCAGGGAGGGACACGGCTCACCATCACCGGCGAGAACTTGGGCCTGCGGTTCGAGGACGTGCGGCTAGGCGTGCGGGTGGGCAAGGTGCTCTGCAGCCCTGTAGAGAGCGAATACATCAGTGCTGAGCAGTGAGTGCAGCCCAGGAGGGGTGGCCTGGCTCGGGTGGTGCCCCTCACAGTGGCTGAGGCCTGGCCGATGCCCACAGGATTGTCTGCGAGATCGGGGATGCCAGCTCAGTGCGGGCCCATGATGCCCTGGTGGAGGTTTGTGTGCGGGACTGCTTGCCTCACTACCGGGCCCTGTCTCCCAAGCGCTTCACCTTCGTGGTAAGTCCTGCTCCTGTGCCTGCTGTTTCTGGCTGCTGGGGATGTGACCATGGTGCTCAGAGGTCTTGCTGGGTGCAAGGGAAGTGGGCCTATAGCCCACCGGCTCATCCTTCCTTGGTCCCTGGTCAGCCACCCTTCACCCCCATTCTTCTGCAGCCTGCATGCTGTCCCCTCCCTCCCTGCCTGCCCACCTGGGCTGGGTGTGAGCACCCCGGAGTACAGGATGGGTCCCCCCTCTGGGCCCTGTGGAATCTTCCCGGTCTGGGCACAGCTGGCAGTGCAAGTAGCATCCCAGTGTGGCCTGAGAGGGATGTCCCTCGAACAAGTCCCTCTTTCTGCAGACACCAACCTTCTACCGCGTGAGCCCCTCCCGAGGGCCTCTGTCCGGGGGCACTTGGATTGGCATCGAGGGGAGCCACCTGAATGCAGGCAGTGATGTGGCCGTGTCCATCGGTGGCCGGCCCTGCTCCTTCTCCTGGTATGGGCGCAGGTGGGAGTGGGGGTCGGGGCCTGCTTGGTCTTTCCTGCTGATTGGGGGCCAAGGCTGAGCTCCTGGTTCCTATGTCTGTGTGCCCCTTCCTGTTGCCTGGGAAACAGGATATTAAGAGCCTGGCTGGGGTGATCACTATGGAAACCCAGAGGCGGAGAAGGTTACCATGGAAACTGGGGCTACCTCCAGAGTGGGGAGAGGAGGGGGAAAAGGGAGACAGCCGGCTGGGGGTGGGGCCTGGGCTTCTAGGGGCGGATACAACCTGACTGCCTCCTCCCTGGAGGGGGACTCCCTTAGGAGCAAAAATAAGAAGTATTTTCCAATAAAATGTTTAAGGGAGAAAACAGACATCTTAACAAAAGCCTTGAGGCTTGAAGTGGATAATTTTAGATTAGGAATGATAATTGAACGGCCCTTTAAATATTTTCCTGTGGTAATTACCCGTTATCAGGCTAATCATCGGTGTTTGCAGCCGAATGGGGCCTAGTGGCTGCAGGATCTCCCAACTATGGCAAAAAAAGCTGAGGGGACAGGGTGCAGGTGCATGTAGTACCCGGCTGGTGTCCAGTAGAGGTGACCATATGACCACCCAGCCCAGCTCAGCCCAGGTCATCTTGTGGTCCATGGCGGTGGAGATAAAGCCCCATGTTCCAGATCAGGGAACAGAGGGACGGTGCTACATTCCCAGGATGCAACAGGAGAGAAAAGTTGGGGCTTGGGCTCACTGCCCTCCTGAGAGAGGATGGGGCTGTCCACAGTGTCATGTGGCTGCAGTTGGGCAACCTGGGAGCCAGGAAGGAGGCCAAGGCCCAGTGGCCATGAAGCCCTGGCCAGAGTCACCTGAAGGGGGCAAGGCAGGGCTCTCCGTGCCTCTGTGGCCTGTGCATTGTGCTGCAGGCACAAGGAAGTGGGTACAAAGGCCAGATCCCAAGCAGGGTGGGCAGAGGGACAGGAGTTGGGGCTGAGGGCAGGACCAGTATGACCACAGAGGGTGGAAATGGTGGTCACAGTGCTGCTGGCAGGGTTGTGGCCTCTTGCTCTCAGTTGTATAGCTCGCTTGTGGAGAGCAGATGTCAGCTCACTATGGAGGTTCCCCACTGGGTTCTGGACACCGCCTCACTGTCCTGACCCCCCTAGGAGGAACTCCCGGGAGATCCGATGCCTGACACCCCCTGGGCAGAGCCCGGGCAGTGCCCCCATCTTCATTAACATCAACCGTGCCCAGCTCGCCAACCCCGATGTGAAATACAACTACACAGAGGACCCCACCATCCTGAAGATAGACCCAGAGTGGAGCATCAACAGGTGGGCAGCTCTGCTCTGCCCCTGTCCTCTCCCTGTCCCTGTCCCTCCTGCTGACTGTGGCCCTGGGGAGGGGCTCTGTCTGGGCTGTTTATCTCTCTCCTCCTGTGTGCTGGGCCGGAGCATGGAATGACGGCTCCACGTGCCTTCTAGTGGTGGGACCCTCCTCACAGTCACGGGCACCAACCTGGCCACTGTCCGCGAGCCCCGAATCCGAGCCAAGTATGGAGGCATCGAGCGGGAAAATGTAAGTCTGTACCCCTGCTCATCCACCTCACCATACCCTGGGGGCACACATGGGCACTCCCTGCTTACGCTGGCCTGGGCTGCGTGTGGAGCCCGAGGCTGGGCCATGCTTCCCTCGGCTCCTGTGGAGCACCTAGAGGACATGTCGGCCGTGCCAGGGCCCCCAGGCTGCGGTTCTGTCATGGGAGTGCTGCCTGCCTCTGAAGTGCTGGCCCAGTGTCCCCATACTCTGTGTCCCTAGAGCTGCATGGTGTACAATGACACCACTATGGTGTGCCGGGCGCCATCAGTGGACAATCCCACGCGCACGCCACCGGAGTTGGGGGAGCGGCCGGATGAGCTGGGCTTCATCATGGACAACGTGCGCGCCCTGCTGGTGCTCAATTCCTCCTCCTTCCTTTACTACCCTGACCCTGTGCTGGAGCCGCTCAGCCCCACTGGCCTCCTGGAGCTGAAGCCCAGCTCCCCACTCATCCTCAAGGTGGGCTTGGCCACCAGGCTTTCTGCAGGGTGGAAGGGCTGATGCGGGGTTTGGGCCAGAGAAGGGGCTCTCAGCCTGGCTATCCCACTCATTGCTATCTCTGCAGGGCCGGAACCTCCTGCCGCCCGCACCCGGCAACTCCCGACTCAACTACACGGTGCTCATTGGCTCCACGCCGTGCATCCTCACTGTGTCGGAGACACAACTGCTGTGCGAGTCACCCAACCTCACGGGGCAGCACAAGGTCACGGTGAGTCCACTGTTCTGCCTGGCTGCCTTCCTGCCAAGGACAGGGCCTGGAGGCCTGGGCCCCAGCCCCCAGGGCCCTCCTGCTGACCCTGTCCCAACCAGGACAATCTCAACACTGTGACCGAGCCTCAGATGTGCCCCACTGCCCCTACCCCTACCCCACTGCCCATTGCTGGGTCCCTGCTGAGCCCCATGCTGTCCTGGGTCCCAGCATTCTTACACTGCCAGCCACTCTGGGCCCCTGTTTTCAGGACGTCTTCTCACAGGAAGGAGCCACCTGGGGTTCAGGGACCTCGGCCTATGGCCCTTGGCTTCCAACATGGGCACAGGCGGTCTCTGAGCCCACTCCACCACCTGCAGGTGCGGGCAGGCGGCTTCGAGTTCTCGCCCGGCATGCTGCAGGTGTACTCGGACAGCCTCCTGACGCTGCCTGCCATTGTGGGCATCGGCGGGGGTGGGGGCCTGCTGCTGCTGGTCATTGTGGCCGTGCTCATTGCCTACAAGCGCAAGTCCCGTGACGCCGACCGCACCCTCAAGCGGCTGCAGCTCCAGATGGACAACCTGGAGTCCCGTGTGGCCCTCGAGTGCAAGGAAGGTCAGTCAGAGTGGCGCTCAGGGCCTGCTGGCTCATGCCCTGCGGTGCTGGGCTTGGTGCCTGGGAGGTGGGTGTGGGCCTTGCAGGGTAGGTCCCACCTCACAGCTTCATCAGGCGACGTAACCACCTGTGCCTCCGTCTCCTCGTCTGCGGGTGGGTGCAGTGGCAGCACCACACGGAGGTGCATGGTGGCCAAGGTAGGTCTGTAGGGTGCTGAAGCACGTCCACTCGTGCTGGCATTGGCCTATATCCTCAAGCTGGTTGCACCATGCTCCTGAGCTGGGCTGTGTGTCCGTCCCTACCCTTGGGTGTGAGTGGTGTTTGTCGACTCCTGAGAAGGCAGTGTGGGGCTTTTCTGCAGGGCATGTCTAGGGTGCAGCAGCGTTGTGGTCCCTCCCAGGGCATGTGTTTGCCTTGGGTAACAGCGTGGCATAGCGCACAAGCCTAGTACCCTGGGGTCCAGTCACTGCGCTACCCCTGACGGCTGTCCCTAGTCGCATGGTTCCCCTTCCTTGGGCCTAAGCCCCCCAAAGCCTTCTACCAGAGAGTTATCCAGTGGTGTATAGTCCGGGGTCGGGATCCCAAGCCTGCAGGGACCATACCTGTGTTGGCTGAGGGCTGGGAGGGTGTGGCAGGAAAGGCCAGGATGGGAACAAAGCAGGAACAGAGGACTCCACATGGGACACAGCAGGACCTCCAGGACCACCCATCTTTGCCCAACGTATCACAGGGAAAACCACGTTCCCATGGTTGAAGATTCAGCCAGCACAACCAGGCATCTAGACCTTCAGCCTGCACACATGGGCTGTGGGTGCAGTGACTGGGGTGGGTAGGGCCTCTTGCTTGGTGCTGAGGCTGAGCCTGTGGGCCCTGGTGTCCTCAAACAGAAGCCTTGGGTTGTGGCAGCACCTGCAACAGGTGATGGGGAGGTAGACTGGCCTAGGCACTGGGCCAGCTGCATATACCTAACCCGTGGGCCCTAGGTCTGTTGTGAGCCTCTCAGGACCACCACAGAGAAGTCATGATGGTTGTGAGGGAAATGGAGCAGCCTTGATGATAAGCAGTGTTTATGGGACGTTGCTGGGTGCTATGGAGGGCATAAGCAGATTTTCATTAAGAGACACTTACAGCTCTGGGGTGATACTGGGCTGGGATTTGCGACCCCCAGGGTCCAATGTAGGGTCTTCAGTAACTCTGGCAGGACCTGGACACTGCAATAGAACATCCAGTCTCTTGAGAAGGGGAGTAGACACAGTCTCACTATGTACCCTGTGCACGTAAACTCATGGCAATCCTCCTGCCTCAGCCTCCCAGGTGCTGGGGTTACAGGCCAGTGCCACCTTACCCAGTAGGACTTGGCTAGTCTTAAAACTTGAGTTCTACATCCTAGGAGCACCCCCACACACACACACATGTGGCCCCATGGTGGGTGGGGCGGGCAGTGCTGGTGAGACAGGGTACAGGCATGTTGGGGCTGGGTGCAAGGCGGGGGGTCTGGGCTCCCTGTGTCTTGTGGAGGATGAGTGTCCACAGAGGCTGCCCTGAGGCTGGCAGGTGGGGACCAGCAGACGCCTGGCAGGCAGTGGTGCCAGGAGACGAAGGCCCTGCTCCTAATTAAAGCCCCGCCATCCCTGGAGCCGCCCACTTTGCTGGCTCCTGATCAGATAGTGCATCCCAGCAGCCACGACACAGCTCACAGCTCTGGAATGCCCCGCGGGTTGTGAGCCTGCCCACCTTTGTTCCCAGGAAGCAGAGCTGGCTGAAGCAGGGTGGCTGTATTGAGGGGGCTCCGGGCCCAAATTCACAGGGGGCAGGTGTCAGTGTGCGGCTGGGAGCCTGGGGTTGCCCTGAAGCCATTGGCCCTGGGACATCTGCCACCCACCACCTGGCTCCTGGCCTTGCCCATTCCTGAAGTGATAAGGGCTGGCACCCCATGGCTGCCCACCCTCCAGTGTCAGAGGCCAGCCCTGGTGCTGCTCTGCTCTTGATTTGGTTATTCCTACAATTTCCCAACAAGGCAGAGGATTTTCATTGTGTTAGGACTGGAGAAACTGAGGCACAAGGAGGCACGTGGTAGGCCTGGCCCTGATGGTGGGAGGAAAGGGAGGGGTACCCTGACACCTTGCCTGGCCACAGCCTTTGCAGAGCTCCAGACAGACATCCACGAGCTGACCAACGACCTGGACGGCGCGGGCATCCCGTTCCTGGACTACCGCACCTACGCCATGCGGGTGCTCTTCCCCGGGATCGAGGACCACCCTGTTCTCAAGGAGATGGAGGTGGGTACACTGACCTCACCCTAGGCACAGAGGGTACAATCTGCCTCCTTGGGGGTCAGGGTCCAGCCAAACTGTTGGGGTGCAGGAGGCGCACATGAAGAGGTGGCCTGAGGCTGGGGCAGGACCTGCCAGGCATGGCTCCTCTCCCTCACAGGCCTCCTCCAGCCTGAGCCTGCCACTTGGGGCTGGGCCCCTCGACGTTCCAGATGTGGCTTTGCTGGCAAGCTCCCTGCCCTGGGCTGGGTGGTGCCAGCCTGGCCGGAATCTGCTGCAGCCACTGGTGAGAGCAGGTGTGGCCCTCAGAGCTGGGCGGTGCTCTCGACGTCAGGGCACCCAGGGTGCTGGCCCTGAGCACTGTGAGGAAGTGGCCCCAAGCCTGTGCCAGGACAGGAGCGCCCTCCCCAGCTCCACACCCAGCCCTCTCGTCTCTGAACTTCATTCCCCATCCAGGAGGAGGGGCAGAGGTTTCTGTGTGGGGTGCTGCCACAAGGGCAGGGAGGCCAAAGACTCTGTCCTGGCACCCAGCGGTAACCCAGTCAGGGGGCCAACCTGTCTTGGCTCTGGCGTCAGGGCCTGAGCAGGCACATGCTCACCCAGGTACAGGCCAATGTGGAGAAGTCGCTGACGCTCTTTGGGCAGCTGCTGACCAAGAAGCATTTCCTGCTGACCTTCATCCGCACCCTGGAAGCCCAGCGCAGCTTCTCCATGCGAGACCGTGGCAATGTGGCCTCGCTCATCATGACAGCCCTGCAGGGCGAGATGGAGTACGCCACGGGTGTGCTCAAGCAGCTGCTGTCTGACCTTATTGAGAAGAACCTGGAGAGCAAGAACCACCCGAAGCTGCTGCTGCGCCGGTGAGCAGCCTGCTGAGTGAGGGGCATGGCCCTTCTCCACACAGCCGGAGAGACCCTCGGGGATGGGCTGGGTGTGGCAGGTGGGGCCTGTGGAAGCAGGGCCGATGCCACCTGCCCGTGACACGCTGTTCTGCCTCCCCCAGGACTGAGTCTGTGGCTGAGAAGATGCTGACCAACTGGTTCACCTTCCTCCTGTACAAGTTCCTCAAGGTAGGTCAGACTGACGGAGAGTACCCAAGGGTGGGATCAGATGACAGAGGGGACATAGGAGGGGAGCCCAGAGGGAAATGGGAGCAGAGCACCCCAGAGAGGTGCTGAGGAAATAGCTGCAGATGGGGCAGCCCAGGTAGAAGCTCCCCAGAACATGCGTATGCCTGCCCCCGCCCCATGCATCTTCTTCCTGTCCAGCCCTTGCCCAGCTCATGGAGGGTGAAAAGCCAGTGGCTGAGCTGGCTTTGAACACAGGCACCAAGCCTAGAGGAGGCAGGGCCTGAGCTGGGCTTCCCTGAACCTTGGCAAATGAGTACTAGCTGTCCTCAGGGGAGGCTGTGGTCCAAGTGGATGTAGGCCCCATGGGCTCTCTTTGGGTTGGAATTGGTTGAATTAGTTTTCTGCACATTAGATATTAGGACACAGATTTTGGTATCTTGCTTCCTTTGAAAAGCTGGAAGGCATGGCAGAGGGGCCCTGCATCAGGTGTGAACTATGGTCAGTGTAACACATGCCCCTTCCTGCTCTCTAGGACCCAAGTGGATAGTCTGCAGTACGGGGGATCAGCAGTGTAGTCTACTGGTCTAGGGCAGGTGCTGGTGACCATCTGAGTCTAGCATCCCCACTTCTTAGGCTTTTGGAACTTCTCAGAAGGATGCTGCTGTGCCCCCAGGCAGCTGGTGAGCTCAGAGGTGACAGGGTGACAGCCTTGTGGGTAGGTGTGTGAGCGCAGTCCCTGTAGGGTGTCTGCTCATTGGGAGGAGACAGTGGTAGATGAGAGGTGCCCGTGTGGGTCAGATGGGAGTGCGTAGAGGACAGGCGGTGAGGGAGGGGCATCATGGGCCCTGGAGAGGTGACATGTGCAGCTGTGTGTATACAGCATTCTTTGGCATGCTTCAAGGGCCCAGAAAGTGGTAGTGCTGTTACTGGGCAGAACTGGTCAGGTACCTCACAGGTGGGTGCTTCCTGTCAGTGAGGACCAGCCTGTGAAGGGGTATAACTCATCTCTGTGCTTGCCACGTCCAGCTCTCTAAACCCAAGAAGAAGTGTGAGGCGCAGCTGAAAGAAGGCTGCAGCCAGGCCAGGCAGGGCCGAACCACCCACTGACCCTGCCGGATCCCAAGTCCACACTTGGAAGGACAGGGTGCAGCGCAGCATAGCCAGCCTGAGACCCTGTCGGAGCTGGATTCTTTCACCTGTCTGACCTCAGGGAAGCTGGCCGACTCCCACCCAGGAGGGGCCCAGAGCCTGTCCTGGGCCTGTGCCCATCCATGCCTCCATCCTCTGACCCTTGTCACAAACTTTTATTAAAGATGGACTATTTTTTAGAGCAGCCTCCAGTGAAATTGAGCCTGAAGTACAGGGACCTCACGGGTATTGAGATTGTTCACACACAGAGATCTTTCATGTATAGGGATTTCTCATGCTCAGGGATCGCTTACGTATAGCATTCTCTGACCCACAACAGGTTGGCGTAGGAGTTTCAGGGTTACCTGGGTGCAAACAGGAAGTGCGCTCAGTAGCAACTGTGTCTAGAAGTTTGAGGGTGGTCCTTCCTGCCTAGTGACATGTGGACGATGCTGTCCCATGAGGCTGGGTAGGCGGTGAGTTGCAGTCCACCAGCCATGAGGTCATGAGGCAGACAGTGTGGGGCTGAGCTGTGATGCGTGGTAAAATGGACTAGATACACTTCACTTTCTTTTGTGTGTGTGTGCACTACTGGCCATTGAATCCAGCACCTTTGTACCAAGTTACAACCATAGCCATTTTTAAGTTTTTAAATTTTGAGACATTGCCTCAGTAAGTGGCAGGATCCTCCTGTTTCAGCCTCCCGGGTGTGCACTATCACCCTTGGCATGTTCTAACGAAGAGTTTTTGTCATGATAGAATACACTTGCAATTAACCATCTTCACCATTTTTATATGTACAGTTCCATGGTATCAAGTGCATTTGTAATAACATGTGGCCATTTCCACCATCCATCTGCAGAATTATTTTCTAAAACTGAAACTGTGCACTGACATCCAGCTTCTCATCCCTGCCCTCTGCCCCAGCAGCCCCTCTTCTGCTGTCTGCCTACTTTTTGCTCTAGTGAACCCTGGAGGTGGGATCGTCCCTGGTTCCTCTTCTGTGACTGGCACATGTCACTCTGCACGGTGTGGAAGCGCCCTCTCCCGTATCTGTCAGCAAAGTGTGGTCCATACAGTGGTGCCCCTACAGACAGCTGTGTTGGTGACCCACTGTCACCTGTAGCCTTCGGCTGTTCAGTGGAGGACTGTAGAAATTACCGATGTGCCACTGGGCAGCAGGGTGGACTCACACCACCTCTTCCAGAATGTGAGCCATCCCTTTGTCCCAAGCACCCGCCCTGCATTTGCTGCCCGCCACTGCTAACCCATTTGCTGTTCTGGTGACCGGGTAGTTGACTCGCAGTATCACATACTGGGGTTCAGGTGACCTGTTTCAGCTAGTACAGGCACAAGGTAGTGAGGCTGGCCCTTCAGATGTGTCCACAAGAGGCCGTAAAGAACATCCTTTAAGTGCAGGTTCCTGATATAACAAGGAAAAGCAGGAAACATCCATTGAGGTTGCTGAGGTGCACGGTAGGGACAAGTCTGTCCATGAGATCAGGACGAAGGATAAAGAAATTCATTCTGGGTTTGCCATCACACCTCACACTGCAAAATGACAGCCACAGTGCATGATGGCTGCTTAGTTAAATGGGAAAGGGATACACTTTTGGGCACACGACCTGAGCAAAGAGCACTGAGCCTCTCAGACGCAGCAAGGTATCCCAAGCCATTTACTGCACACATGGCACGGTGCTTACACTTGGTGCAGAATGGGCTTGGGCTGTGTAGAGGTAATGTGGAGTCTTGGGTTTGGTACTGTCCGTGAGTTCAGGCAGGCATTGGTGGGGATCTGCGACTGTGTCTCCCTGGAATGTTTTGTTGCATATAATGTATATGTATGTATTGTCTGCCTCAACAAAAAATGGCAAGAGGATCAAGAAAGGGGTAGATGGGAGAGGGAAGAAAAGGGTTGGAAAAGAAATTAGGATGTGTTACGTATACATATCAACTCCACAAGAAGTGTATTTGTTACATACTAGACATATGTACTAATAAACTTTAAAAGGAAAACAAAAAAAAGGGAAGTAAATCTAGGCTAGCACATGAATGAACTGTGAGGTCACATACTAGTTTTAAACAACATAAAAAATCTTTGCTCCTTGCTATCCTTAGAAACAAAGCTTTACCTAGAGCAGTGATCAACAGTGCTGGCTTGGCACTGCTCACCACAAGGTGAGGATAAAGGATGAGCTCCCCGCCCCTAGAGCTGCACACGATCATCATTGTGGTGCACGTTCTCAGTCTGGTTTCTGAACTAAAGCAACTGTTTATACAGTGTGTGTGTGTTAAAGTAGGGTCTCATAGCATTGCCCATACTGTTCTCAAACTCCCTAGTTTAAAGGATCCTCCTGCCCCAGCCTTCTGAGCAGTAGGGATGGCCTGTAGGCTGGGGCAGGAGTTTGCTGAGATCTACAGTCAGGATAAGTTCATGAAGCCAAGTATCTGCTGCAGCCTGAGTGGCTTTTAACATCAAGAAAACCTGGCAATAGGCCCTGACCCTCAGGCAGTTTTCTCCGTAGTCCCACACTGAGCTGACACCCTCTCCTATCTGCCCCTTGGGCAGAGCGACAGACCCACCTTTGCAGCGGCTGACTCAGGTGTTGGTCACATAACATTCCGTGATGTGGATGGTGTATTGTCGATTCCCTGTTGCACAGTGGTGTCGGGAGAGTGGATCCTTGCCCACGGTGACCAGCACCCCTCCCAGCCTCTGGTGTGGTGGGCTTGGCTTGCTGAGTGCGTGTGATGGGGGTTTCCAGAGGAACAAGAGCAGGGTTACTTCAGTTGTGATGCATGCTCCTGAGTCCTGCCAAAAGTGCACCCAAATCAGGTTCAAAGCTCACCTGGCTAGAGCTGCTTTATCAGCTGCTTTCACCTCTGCCGGTTTGATAAGTGCATGTGGATAGTTGATTGCTTTAGTTGGCATTTGTTTTAGCAAGGTGAGCATCCTTTCATGTGCTTAATCAGCCACTTCTGTTTTATTCTGTGAAACAAAGTTTGCAATTTTTTTATCCTTTGCACATTTTTCTAGGATTATTTCTTTAATATACCAGTTTTTTTTGTTTTTTTATCTTAAATTTTATTGAGTTTATTGGTACATTTTAGGGATACAGTACAGTTACATTCATTGTTGAGATCTTGTACCTCTACATGACAAGTCTTGATTCTCATTTTTTCCCCTTACCTCTGCCCTCCCCTCACCCCCTCCTCCCCTCCCCATCTACAAACACTTTATTTTCATCTTTTCATTCTCTCACATTTTTTCTTTTCCCTTTTTGTTCTTCCCTAATATACCAGTTTTTAAAAAAATACCTACCTTCATTGTTTTGGCTCCTGTGATAGCCATGTGGTGTGAGGTAGGGATCTGTTTTGCTTTTCCCAACAAATGGAAAAGCACTTACCCTACCAGTGTTTATTGAAATGCCCTTACTTGGATTATCTTATTACACAAAAAGTGACATTTTACTATTTTTATTTATATTTTGTGGTACTGGGGGTTGACCCCCCCCCCCGCCACCAGGGCGTTTCCCCTGAATTACATCCCCAGCTCTCCCCCTTCTTCTTTCATTTTACTTCTTTTATCTTCTAAATTTTGAGACCAGATCTCACTACATTGCCTAGGCTGGACTAGAACTTGTAACCCTCCTGTCTCTGCCGCCCACAGTTCATGGGTTACATGCACGTATCATCACTCACAGCCAAAGGTACGCCTTTTAGGCAATTTTTACACACTTGTACCTGGGGCTGGGAGGAGTGGGGGGCCTTAGGTTCTGGGCCTTCCTCCTCCCTGGCCTCTTGGGAATCTCAGATCCCTGAGAGGCTGCAGCCTGGGTCTGGAGAAAACACCCTGGCTCAGCCTAACCCTTTCCTGAGAAGTGCTGGCTTTTAGATGAGGGGCACTGGGGTCCAATGGAACTGGGTTTGAATCCTGACTTAATCTACATGGCCTCCCTCCACCGAAACCCAGCTGCCCTCCTTTCTCCTTCTGCGTAGTTCAGGCCTGGGAATCCTCTTGTCCCTGGGTCCCCCTTGTAGATGGCATTTCCAGGAAGCACCCCCATGGGCAGTTTTGCGTCCGAACCGCTTGCCCTCCTCTCCTCCCTCACAGCTCACTTAATGAAGCCAAGTTTGCAAATGAAACATAATTTCAGAGACAGGCGTGTTGTTGGAAGGTCTCGGGATGATCTGTGCTTGTGGCCGTTCCTTAGCAGCTGTCTCTTTAATTACCGCAGATGCTAACGAGGTGCCCGGAGCATCTGGTTATGGGGCCAAAGTTGCCCATCTGCCAGGATCAGGCGGAGGTGGGCACTCACCTGCCGGTGACACAGCAGGCGGAGGTGTCGGCAGTCAGGGACAGCCCCTGAGGGCTGCAGGACCTTGCTGAGTGCTGCCCGCTGGCCCTTTGCATTTCACTGTGCCAACATAAACCTTTTCATTCCTTCTATTTGGTTAGCTGTGTCTGGGAACCTCACCTTGCTTCTTGCTGGGTTTGCAGATGAATCCAAGGGCCTGGCCCTCAGGCAGCAGCATGAAGTACTGCAGGTTTAGAAGGGCCATGGGGCTGGGTGGAGTCCTGGTCACAGGATGGCAGTCACAGAGACCCAGAGGCAGGAACAAGAGATGGCCCTCCTGGCAGTGGCGTGGGGTCCAAGGGCCCAGGTTAGGGCAGAGCCAGACCTCACCGCGTTCCCAGCCCACCATGCCAGTCTTGAGGCCTGGACTGAATTGCTGTGTCCTGATTCTGGTGCCTCCTGCTGTCCCTGGGGTCGTAGCTCTGCCCAGTGAGCGTGCTGAGAGCATGCTCTAGCTAACAGCCAGGGGAGGAGGCCTCCAGGTACCATGTACCCTTCACTCCTGCCTGTCTGTGTGTGCCCTCTCCATGCTCCTGTGGTCCGCCATGCATCTCTTCCTGCTACTCTTCCTTGGGCCCTGGTGCAGGACACGTTTGCTTCCTATGAGGAGCTGGCAAGGGTTGCTGTCCCTCCTTGCTGGGAGGGCCATGGACTGTGGGAGCCTGCGGTCCTTGCTGCACCTCATGCCTTGGCTCTACAGGAATGTGCGGGAGAGCCCCTCTTCATGCTGTACTGCGCCATCAAGCAGCAGATGGAGAAGGGCCCCATCGATGCCATCACGGGTGAGGCCCGCTACTCCCTAAGTGAGGACAAGCTCATCCGACAGCAGATTGACTATAAGACACTGGTGAGTGTGGTGGGCCCTCCTGTCCCTGGCCCCACTCCCTTTCCTGCCCCCAGCCAGCAAGGCCAGATGGGGGCTGATGCTGCCCCTCCCCTCCCCTGCAGACCCTGAACTGCGTGAACCCCGAGAATGAAAATGCACCCGAGGTGCCAGTGAAGGGACTGAACTGCGACACAGTGACGCAGGTCAAGGAGAAGCTGCTGGATGCTGTGTACAAGGGAGTGCCCTACTCCCAGCGGCCCAAGGCTGGGGACATGGACCTGGGTACGCGGAGGGGCCACCATGGGGCTGGGGGTTCGGCAATGTACCCTGTGTGTTCTGAGACATGGGCAGGGGTGTCAAGGGCGCAGGGCTCAGCTTGGTGGGGAGCTAGGTGGGCCTGTCAGTGCTTGCTGGTCTGGTCTGTGAACAGCCATGGAGGAAGTGGTAATGGGGCTGGGCTCTGGGGCCCGGTTAGAGGCTGTGAGATAGGGGTGTCTGGGCTGGGCGGCCATGGAGGACCTGAGGGAAGGTGTGGCAGAAGGCTGGAGTCAGGGCCACCATGATTGACTTGGGTTCCTGTAGTTGGGGCTTATCCCTGGGGCTGAGTTGGTGGCTGGGGCACTCAGTGCCCAATGGGGCCCTGCCTGTTCATGGCCTTAGTAGTGCCCTCAGGGTCCCCCTCCTGTGGGTGTTAGTGCAGATGGTGGTCAGGAGGGAGCAAGGCCCTGTGGCCCTGCCCTCCAGTGCCCTGCTCCCCACAGAGTGGCGCCAGGGCCGCATGGCGCGAATCATCCTGCAGGATGAGGATGTCACCACTAAAATCGACAATGACTGGAAGAGGCTGAACACGCTGGCCCACTACCAGGTGACCCTGTCTGACAGGAGCCTGGGCTGTGCCTTCCAAAGGCACCATAGCATCATTGGCACCAATGTCAGAAGCATTGGCGAGAAGGTGGTCCAGCCTGGGGCTGGCAGCAGAGTTCGAGGAGGGGGCAGAGGTCTTGGGGACACTCCCAGGCTCCAGTGGGCACTGTTCCGGCAGCCTGGCTCGGGGTGGTGAGCTGCCCACCTCCAGGCTCAGGGCAGTGGTGCCACTCAGGCCCCTAGGGTGGGCTGGGCATCTCCATTGCATCCTGTGGAGTCATTGTGTCCCTGCCCTCTGCCTGCAGGTGACAGATGGGTCATCAGTGGCACTGGTGCCCAAGCAGACATCCGCCTACAACATTTCCAACTCCTCCACCTTTACCAAGTCCCTCAGCAGATACGGTGAGGGGATGGGCAGGGGCAGGGGCAGCCCTGGGCCTGGGCAGATGTCAAGACTCAGGGACGTGGTCACAGCCTGCCCTTGTGTTCTGGAGGCTGTGCCACTCCCTCTGCCATGTGTCTACCCTGTAATGCTGCTTCCCGGCCTCCTCATCTGTCCCCAGCAGCCCAGGGAGGAGGATGCAGGTCCCAGGGTTCAGATGAGGCAGGGCCTGGGTGCAGCCATATGTATGGGGACACAGGCCACCCACTGACAGGCCCGACTTCTGCAGAGAGCATGCTGCGTACAGCCAGTAGCCCCGACAGCTTGCGCTCGCGCACGCCCATGATCACACCCGACTTGGAGAGTGGCACCAAGCTGTGGCACCTAGTGAAGAACCACGACCACCTGGACCAACGCGAGGGTGACCGCGGCAGCAAAATGGTCTCAGAGATCTACCTGACCCGGCTGCTGGCCACCAAGGTAAGCAGCCACATGAGGGTGGCCAGGCTCCAGTTGAGTGTTCCGAGCTGGGTCAGGCCCCCCGGGGGGTGCTGGTGCCTGGCAGAGCCCTGGAGCCTTGCCCCCTTGCCCACCCTCAGGGCACGCTGCAGAAGTTCGTGGATGACTTGTTTGAGACCATCTTCAGTACAGCACACCGGGGCTCCGCCCTGCCACTGGCCATCAAATACATGTTTGACTTCTTAGACGAACAGGCCGACAAGCACCAGATCCACGATGCTGACGTGCGCCATACGTGGAAGAGCAACTGGTAAGGGGGGGTGCGTCCCACACGGCTCGGGCAGCTTCCTCCTTCCCCGCCTGGGCTTAGGCACGTCTCCTGCTCCAACTGAGCAGGCCCCTCGGGTGAGGGAGCTGCATGCTTTGTGGGGGCTGCTGTGTGAGAGCTGGGGCTTGGTGGGAGGCAGTGAGGATGACACAGGCGCTTGTGGTGCTCACTAGTGTGTGGCCCTTGCAGCCTGGGCCATGGAGGCTGCAATGGAGACCAAGACTGCCTTTGTCACTAGGACCCGGTACCAGTCACCCATAATTTAAGAGGGGAAAGATTTATTTTGGCTCAGTTTGGAGAGGTTTCAGCCCTTGGTTGGATGGCTCCAAGGCAAGGCAGAATGGCAGAGGGACCTGGTGGAGGAGAGCTGCTCATAACATGGTGGGCAGGAAGCAGACTAGGAGCCATGCCCCCAGTGACCCCTTCTAGCCGGACCCTGCCTCCTAACAGCAGGTCAGCTTTGAACCCCCATAATCCAGGACCTCTAGGTATAAACCATAACAGTATGTCACTTGCCAAGGCCATGGGGCACTGTGTGTAGAGGCAGGGGTCACACAGGACCCTGAGCTCACCATGCACCTAAGGAGAGGCAGCAGGGCTTTGCAGGGCTGAGCCTGTGTCGAGAGATGCCCAGGCGCCCAAGTGGCTCCCTTCACAGAGTGCCTGCCATGGTCAGTGGCCCTGGCTTTGGGCACTGGTGTACCTGGAGGACCAGCCCTGTGCAGCCCCAGCCCTGGCCCCACAGGCCAGGCTCCTGCCCCAGGCAGAGCCACTCTGTGCATATCTGGAAGCCTGCAAGAGGGCTGTGTGGACAGGTGGTTGGTCAGGGGTAACTGAACACTTGTCTCAGCAGAAGGGGCTGCTGCTTCTCTCCACAGGATCCCACAACACCTCCACAGCCTCCCCAACCCCTTTCAGGAATATCCAGCGCATGCCTACAATGGCTTGCACACCCTCCAGTCAGCAGCCACATCCCAACTCCAAGCCTAAGTCTCATTCCTTTTGGGAATCCTGGCTTCTCCCCTCCCCACTGTTCCCAAGACTCTGGTGGGGTACCTCCCAAACCTGGAGTGCAGCCTGGGGCTCGGTGGTGATGGGGTGGGGCTTGCAAGCAGCACCCTCCCTGTCACTTCAGCGGGGACAGCCCTGCATATGGAGGGTTCTGGACCAAGCTGTCCAGGAACCACCAGCCACATATGGTTGCTGAACACTTAGCATGTTCCTGGGTGACTACTAAGGACCTCAGTTTTCAGCTTCATTTGGTGGCCTGTGATGGCCGTCTCTGTGGTGGTGGTGTGGACCCAGGGCTAGGGGCTCCTTAGCGATGTGTCCTGGGGGGGCCCCCTACCCAGCATGCAGGCTGGGGGCAATGACAGTGTGTGGGGCCCAAATCTGTGTGGTGCATGTGACCCCACACATCTCTGAGCATGGGAGTGAGGCTGTGTGAGAGGCACCAGGTGGAGGCACAGTCCCCACCCAGGGCCTGCTTTGTCAGATGGTGCTGGACTCCTTGGAAGCCGGGGTCAGGAGACTGGGCTGGAGGCCTGACCCTCCTGTGCTGTTCAGCGGGGGTGGCGGGGCCCGAGCATGGCAGCTGAACCCCTGGGCCTGTGTGTCGCAGCCTGCCCCTGCGCTTCTGGGTGAATGTGATCAAGAACCCGCAGTTCGTGTTCGACATCCATAAGAACAGCATCACGGACGCCTGCCTATCAGTGGTGGCCCAGACTTTCATGGACTCCTGCTCCACGTCAGAGCATAAGCTGGGCAAGGACTCACCCTCTAACAAGCTGCTCTACGCCAAGGACATCCCCAACTACAAGAGCTGGGTGGAGAGGTGCGGGCGGTGGGCATGGGAGGGGCTGGGGGGAGCAGGCAGGGAGAGGCCCTCACTCCTACCTGGCCGGCCACAGGTACTACGCTGACATCGCCAAGATGCCCGCCATCAGTGACCAGGACATGAGCGCCTACCTGGCCGAGCAGTCCCGGCTGCACCTGAGCCAGTTCAACAGCATGAGCGCCCTGCATGAGATCTACTCCTACATCACCAAGTACAAGGACGAGGTGAGCCGCGTAGGTGGGAGGTTGGTCGCCTCTGCTGGGCCCTTCCCTTCCCCTCCCTTGGTCAGTGGGGATGGCTAGGGAGAGGGAGGGGATGGGCTGCACCTCCGCTGTCTCCGGCAGGACTGTGACAGGGTTTATAGGGCTGCAGCTGGGAGATGTCTCCAGGTTGAATGACTCCATGGCTGGGCTGAAGCTGTGGAGCTTCTTTTTCTTCATACAGGACGGACAGACTCTTGGGAGCCACAGGCCACAGGCAGGGCAGGCGCAGTTGGTGCCAGGGCACAGAGGCAGAGTGCACTGGGTGGCCGTCTGCAGGATGCCCTGGGGCTGGCTGTTTCTGGGTGTGCAGGCTTCTAGTCCCCAAGCCAGGCAGGGGCACTGGAGGTTCAGAAGCAGAGGGCCAGGCCTGACTTCTGCACTCAGAGCTAGTGAGGCCAGGTACCTTCTGGGTGCCCCAAGTGAGGGAACAGGCAACTGGCTGGAGGTGGGGAGGCCACAGAAGATGCTGGTCTGAGATCTAGGTCTTCAGATTTAAGGGCAGCAGAGCTCCAAGTGCCCCATCCTGTGTGGAGGTCGCCACTGAACTGAGAGAGGGCCTCTCAGGCCAAGGCTATGGAGCAGCATCCAGAAAACAAAGTCAAGGGCGAAGGAGGGGACAGACTCAGAAGCTGGGGTGGCAGGAATCCCGGGTGACAGCTAGGGCAGTGGAGAAAGACCAGCCCAGGGTCCCAGTGACTACAAGGGCCAGAGAAGCAGAGGAGCCCCGTGCTCAAAATAAAGGTGCAGAGAAGGCCAGGAGGGAGGTTGGCGGTGTGGCCATATGTGGAAGGGCCCTGTGTCATGCAACGCCGGTGACTGGGTGGCTGTCGGTGGGCCACCTCTGAGTCCGCCCCTGACTCCTCATCTGCAGATCCTAGGGGCACTGGAGAAGGACGAGCAGGCACGGCGGCAGCGGCTGCGTAGCAAGCTGGAGCAGGTGGTGGACACGATGGCCCTGAGCAGCTGAGCCCCTGGCCAGTGACCGCCCAGCAGGAGGCGGAGCCAGAGGGCTGTGGAACAGGGACCCCTGGAGACAGCTGCGCCACCGTGCGGAGAACCAGGAGGTGCTCGGGGCTGTCACACAGCCACCATCCTCCCGGCCTCCCTTCCTGGGCTCTCACGGCATGGCCAGGCATTTATCAGTATGGGTGTGACAGCACCTGCCTGGTCACCTCTGCCCAGGATGGCCTTCCCAGGTCTGGGCACTCAAAGGGTGGCCAGCTGGCCCTGCCCAGGGACTTTTGCCACCTGCGAGAGCTGCCTGGGGGCCTTCACAGGAGTAGAGGTGGCCTCCACAGGGTGAGGTCGGGGCCAGAGCCCCCAGGGCAGGGCAGCAGCCTGCCTGTCTCCCACAGGCAGGGCACGGGGCTGGGTGTCAGCAGGCAGCGCCTCCCTGGCTGCCACCAGCGGACCAAGTCTGAGGATCAGGGGCCTGGCTGGCAGCCGGTGGGAGGGGCACGCACCCAGGATCAGCAAGATGAGCTAAAGCCGTCTTGCCTTCTACATCCAGCGCCCCGCGCTCACCACCCCTCGCTGTCCTCAGATTCACCGCGTGCTCTGCGCGGCCGAGGCCGGAACGCCACGTCCACCTACAAAAGAGGCTCTGTCCCCTCCTATGGAGGGGCTGCCCACAGCTCCGAGGGACTCGCAGACGAATGGACAGGCAACCCCCTCTGTCCTCAGGGCTGTGCCTCTGGGAGCCGCCGGGCCTTGGGGCTCCAGCTACAGAGTGCATGTTCCCATTATTTATTCCCCTCTCCTCTTGCTCCTGCACAGCCGCCTGAAGTGGGCTGAGCCCTCCACCACAGAGCCCTCGAGGACGCTGCCCTCCTGCCTCTCTGCCCCTCCCACCGTGGCTTCCATTTTGGCCTTTCCTGAGCAGTAGGACACTGGGGACTGTTTTTGTTTTTAAAGGGAAACAGGCAGTCCACTGCCCTCTGCCTGGGCAGTGAGGGCGAAGTGTTCGACCCCTGCCAGCCTGGACAGCTTGGGCTGTGATGACGGGCAGGGTCTGAGGGCCTGAAGTCGGCTGCCACCCCTTTGCCGTCTACGGCAGGAGAACAAGTTTTTAACGGAACCCTGTACATATATATATATATATATATGTTGTGTGTGTGTATATATATATGTGGCTCTGGCCTCATCTCCAGCCCCAGTGGTACTATACAGTTACAAAAGGAGAATTCCGAAAAGCGATTTAGAAGAAAATCCAGGTGGTGGGAAAACACTACCAGGTGGCGCAGAGAGAATATTCGGGTCTCTGGGGCCAGAGCAGAGCCCCAAAGCCCGTCCGCATCCACCCAGCGCCCCGCACTTGCTGTGGACAAAGGAGTCGAGAGCCCCAACCTGCTGCCAGCCCCTGAGAGCTTCCAGGGTATGCAGGGCCTGTGGATTTGCATGATTGTGCTAGCGTTTAGTCTGAGTTGATCTTTTGCAAACTGCAAGTGTTGAATCTAGAGGTGGTTAGACCCTTTTTAAAGTTTTTTTTTTCTTTTTAAATGAATCAGTCACTTGTACAAGCAAACAAGCAGCCCACCCCCTTTTCAAGTTCACTTTTTCAATGGTACTAAAGATTCTAAAGGACTTTAAGGGACAGCTAACTGTGGCCAGACCTGGCCCCAGTGCCGAGGGCAGCATGCCTTGTGTCCGAGGGCTGCCAGCCTTGGGGTCCCCCCCTAACCCCAAGCAGTGTGAGCCAGTCGGGTCTCCTGGGATATCAGGTCAGGAGCTGCTCCCTCGTGAGGGGCTTGGTGTGTGGTTGGTGAACTTCTGACTCAGGGAGCTCCTCCACCCCGTGGGGCGCTGAGGGGGGCCTGGGCACCCTACCCCATGCTGCCTTCAGCCCTTCCAGCCCCCCTCAGGCCAGAGCTGAGGCCAGCCCAGCTGGAGATGATGCCCTTATGTCCTCCAGGATTCCCTTTCCTGGTGTATTCTGTCCATTATGACACCTCCTGGCTGTGCCTCAGTTTTCCCCAAAGTCTTCCCTGGATACTGGCTTCAAGTGGAAGCCCACAGTTCTTCCAGTCCCACTTGGGCCATGCAGGCCTCTCGGTTCCCGCACACCTTCCAGTGTATTTCCATCCATTCCCTTCCCTGGGCCTCATGGCCGCTGCTGCCCTGCTCAGTCCAGTCAGGTGGCCTCATCCACATAGGGAGCATCAGTGGGCAGTAGGACGGTATGACCGCCCAGCCCTGCCTAGCATGACTTCCCTGGGGGGACCTGGCCGCGGCTGAGCTCATGGCGTCTGCTCGTAAGCACTTTAGCAAACCTGTTTACACAAGTGTCAATCCAGCTGATTCTAAGCATGCTGTGTCCGAGGACAGCAGGTCTCCCTGGAGTGTCCCTGTGGGGCCCACACCACCTGCCAGGTCCTGGGCTTAGGCCCTCATTTCCTCTTGTCATTAATCCCCATGGTCCCCAATCTGTAGCACCCTAGGGACTGGGCCAAGCACCCTGATCACCTCTTGATGGCTTGCTAGGTGCTGTGAGCTCCGAGGGGGGCTGGGGGCCTGGTCAGAGCCCACTATGCTGGGCAGTGAAATGCCTGGGACCACCTCTGCCGCCCAGGCTGGGGCAATTTCTGTTGGTGTCACTGCCTGCCATGGCCCTGCTTCTCAGCCCCTCCCAGTCCTCCCGGCGCTAGGCCCCCTTCCCTACACCCAGCCTTGGAGTGCCTGGGCACCAATACCTCTATCTGTCCCTGAAGGCCCAGCCACCTGCCTGTTCTCCCTTGGCCTGGGGGGTCCACAGTAGATGGTGTAGAAGTGGGGCCTGGGGGCCCCAGCTCGCACAGCATGGAGTCCTGGGATGGCTGGCGCCTTGCGCTTGCATGGGAGCCCAGTGCCCAGCTCCTACCCTATGATCCCTTGCTGAGGGCCCTGGCCCCCACGTGTCCCTCCCAGCCCAGATCTGATGGCTCACTCGTTGGTGCTACACAAGCTAGAATAGATATATTTAGAGAGAGAGAAAGATATTTTTAAGACAAAGCCCACAATTAGCTGTCCTTTAACACTGCAGAGCCCCCACCCAAAAGAACAGTCACTCCTACGGGCTGAGCTCCCGGCCCTCAGCACTGCCTCTCTGGAAGCAGCACCGCTGACCGGCTCTCCTCCCGCAGATGTGTAAATACAAGGCGATTTCCTATTTTACTGTTCTTCAGATTTAGTACTTGTACATAAACACATTAAGGAGAGATTAAACATTTTTGCTAAAGCTCCTGGCTCCGGGATTTCTTGATGAGAGGTGTCTGGGGGCTGGGTCTCCTCGCTATGGCATTGGGGGGCTGCAGTAGTGTGACAGCCACACTCAGGGCAGCCTGGGGGAGATGCTGCTGGGGCTCCTGCCTGCAGCCCCTGGCAGAGCAGTGGGTTGGGTCATACCAGGGGTGGTGGCCTTAGCACCTGAGGACTTAACATGTCAGCACTCGGGAGGCTGAAGCAGGAGGATCACTGCAAGTTTGAGGCCAGCCTGGGTTACGTGGCAGGAGCTTGTCTCAACAACAAAACAGCATGTACAGTGGCCATATGTGCTCAGTGACCGCTGATGGCCCAGTGCCCCCAGGGCAGGTGCTAGGTCTCTGGGATGGGGTGCTCAGCCCAGGTGACACGTCACAATCCTCAGCTGAGACTAAAAGACACCCAGGCTGAACCCCACTTGAAGGTAGCACTCCACAGAAGGACCTGGGTGACTCAGCCTGGTTCCCAGTCCCTCATGGTGAAGCAGGAATCCTGGGACCTTGTTAAATGCAGATTCTGAGCCCAGGAGCCCGAGTCACCTTGAGGCCCTGCCATGAACAGAAATGCATTCCCCTCCTGGGAGCTCTGCTCGGAAGGCTTGGGTCTTTCACAGATCCCTGCTTACTCGCAGTGGAGTAGGTGTTCTGCAGGTGTGGAACTCTGGACCCGCTCTCCAGTTTGTTTCATCACCAGACTGGTGGCCACACCAAACCCAGAAGCTGGCAGTGGCGATTGGCTGTGCTCATCCTGGCGTCCAGAGATGGCCACAGCAGGTGAGGTGCATCCTGGGGATTCTCGTCTCTGCCCACATCTCCAGGCAGAGCTGGTCCACGCCCATAGTGTACTCCAAGCTGTTTGGCCACCGTCAGCCGTGCCAGTGAGGGAGCTCTGACAGGGCCCTGTGAGGTGGGGTCATCCTCAGCCGGAGCCCACATGCAGGTTGCCCAAGACGCTCTCCATTCATTTCCCAGGACTCTGACATCGGCTCATAAATCATCATCATCATCCACACCTTCTGCTCCCAAGCAGGCCCCTCCTCACACCTTGGACTTCAGGCACCAAGCTCCACCACTGGCTCGATTGCTCAAGAGAAATCAGGGTAATCATGAAATTGCATAGGAAACAAATTTAGCAAGTGTGGTCCTGTTTGGGGGTGACACGGCCTGTTCTCACTGCTTGATCCCCTCCAGCTCTCCGGCACAATCAGCCCTGCCTCAATCACCCTCGTGGGGCCTCTGAGGGAGGGCTCCGGCCCCACCACCCTAAAATCAGGCTGTGGCTGCCTCAGAGCCGCAATCAGCTCTTGCTGCTCCAAGGTGATCAGGCATAATTATGCAGAAGCAGCACCTTCTGATTGCCGCACACATCTCGTTGTTGCCTATCAGAGGCACCAAGACCTTCAGGCTATCAGGGCTGCGGCTTGCGGCTGCTGGGTCCTTGTTGGGTGCCTGTGTGTGGCAGAGGTGCCCACTCAGCACACTGAGAGCTCTTGGTCCTCCTCCAGGAACCCCAGAGCAGCCACGGCTAGGGGCAGAAGACAGAACACTGAAGATGGCATGGATTAAAAAGCCAGGGTTAACAAACAGGGTAACTGCAAACAGATGCAGGTGCCATGAAGAAAATACAAGGCTGGCGTGCAGGGCATTGCTGGGAGTGAGTGGGTGGGAAGAGCTGTGGGACAAAAAGGAGCCAGCCACAGTGATATCACTGGGGACGGCATTCCTGGGAACAGGGAGGGGCACCTGTGGCATCCCTTGCTGGATACCTATTGCCTTCCCACTTCCTCCGTGCATGTGGACTGTCCAGGGTATGTGACCTATTCTTGTCCTCTCAGACTGAATCACCAGAGCAGGACCTAGGGCTGAGTGAGGGTCCCAGGGAGCACAGCCTCCACCAGCCCCCCTGGGCATGAGGGACGAGCACACAGCTGACCTCTGTGCCTCAAGACCAGGCACGGGGAGTGATTGCTTCTGTAGCATAGCCCAGACCACACCAACGTACACCTCGGTGCCTTGTGTCAGAGGCAAGGCCTGGGGACAAGGACATGGGATCACTTGCCAAGCACACAGGACTGCTCAGGTACGGCCAGATGCAAGCTCAGCGGTCCCATTAGTCACATCTATGTGACCAAGGCTCTGCAGAGAAGCCCAGGAGCTTGATATCCGGAGCGTGGTGCAGAGCTGGGGTGACTGGCTGCCTGGTGAGCAAAGCCCCAGGTGCTAGGGATGTGGACAGCAGCCTGTTCTCTGCAGCAGGTTCCTGTGAAGCTACTACCAGCCCCTTGGGAGACTCTCCCAGCTGAGGTGCTGGGGAAACGCATTCTAGGGACCGTTGCTGCATCCAGATGAAAGACCACAGCAAGAAATACCTGTTAGTGTTGCTTTCCATTATATGAAACTGGGGAGAGAAAGTTTGGGAGGTGGGGGAGACCGGTTGACTCATGCAATAGAAAAGTCCAAGGCAATGTGTAGCCTCTGGGATGGCTGGATCCAGGTGCTCCTATGAGGTCACCAGAGGAGGAATCCATCCTTGCCCTTTGTCTTCTGTGGGAGCTTCATTCTCAGGCAAATTCTGCCCAAATTTGGGTCAAGGATGGCCACTAGCTCTGGGCTTATCAATTTAGCAATCTCATGTCAGCACATGAGTCCAGGTAGCAGTTCATTGGCCAACTTTAGGGCACATGTCTTTCTTTGAACCAATCGCTCTGGCCTGAAGGGTCAGGCACTCTGATTGGCCAGGTTGCATGCCCAGGGGCTATAGCCAATCCATTTGCACTTTGGGCCTGTAGTAGGGAGCTGGAGTGAGGGAATCTGGAGCAGTGTGCGGGTTCTCATGGCACCCGGGATGGCTGTCAGGAGGAGCTCGTAGCAGTTGATTATCTGGTCTCCTCCCAGAGGCTCACAATTGCCAGATGTGCACTTTGAATACACTTAAAATTCCTGAGTCCTGTCTGCCTCCCAGCTCTGCCTGTGAGCCCAGCCCTGCAACCTGGCTGCAGCTCTCCGCAGTCGTTAGTGAGCCTGGCTAGGGGACAGCAGAGTGGACGGAGGGGTCACACCTGCCTGCCTGTGGAGGGCAATGGACCCAGCACACAGCATTTTTGCAAGAGGGTTGGGGTAGGGATCACAAAGTCGGGGTGGTGGGGTGGCTCCAGCCTGGGTGACACCCTTCTCTGCTCCATCAGCCCCCACTCACCAACCCTCCACTGGGGTACCCCTGACACCTATGCTCTCCCACTATTCCCAGCCACCTGCCCACTTACCCCAGGGACTCCGTCCATTGGCCACCATCCAACTTACTTGCACCCTGTTCCCCTTTCTCTCCAGCCTGCCAGGTTAGGCTGAGATGAGGCTTCCAGGACCCTGCAAATCATGGCATCAATTTGGTCGGCTAGAATGTGGTCTAGAGGGTCAGTAGAGCCATGGAGTCATGGAGAGGTGACCTTGGGGACTGTGCCTGGTCCCTGGCACTTTCCTCTCTGGCTATCTTCCCCTGCCAGCATGAAGCCGCTCTGCTCCCCTGTCCACCTCTGCTGTAATGTTCCTACCTTGGAACTGGCCAACCATGGGCCAAAACTTCTAAAACCGTAAGCCAAATAAACTTCTCCTTCTTAAAGTTGCAGATGTCAGGTGTTTTGCCTGAAAACAAAGACAAGACAGCTGAACGGTATATGCTATGGTTTAGAGATAAAATATTCCCCAAATGTGTTCATAGGTGGAGCTTTTGGAAGGTGACTGGATTTGGGGGGTGATAGAGGACTTGAGGTGGGGTCTGGTCAGAGGAGGTTGGTCACTGTGAGATGGAAGCAACGGCCACTCTCATTTTCCCCTGTGCAGCTGGAGGGGGTGTGTGGCTTTGTCTGCAGCATCCATCCCTTCCCCTGCTTTGCTCCCCCTAACTCTCCCATTGGATGGAGGAGTTTGCTTCAGCGTCCTCCCTGGCTATCAAACCTCCGCTCCAACATGAGTGCAGCGAGACAGGCAGTGTGCCACCCCTCTCCCCCTCCTGCCACTCCAGATGCTGCTGTAGCCTTCGTGAAGCAGGGAGGGGGTGCCCTGGAGAGGCTGAGATCAGGAAGAGAGAAATCTGGGCCCAATAATTGCACACCCAGCACGCACAGCAAGCTTTCAGCCCCACCCCTCACTGACACAGGCCCGCGGGTCCCATATAAGCAGCAGCCCCATCCGCTTCTCAGGTTTAGTCTGGAAGGGCTCCCTCCAGGGTGCTGAACCCCTGGGCTGGAGCACAGGCCCTGTTAAAATAAAGTCTTGCTTTGGTGCTCCTGTAAACATGCTCTGGATTTATTTCTCGGGTAGTGACTGCAAAAGTCCTTTAATCTACTTTGGACAGAGTGAGTGGTTTCTTTCAAAAGAGCAATAAATACTCAGAACCATTAGCACCAAAGAGCTCCAGAGATCGCAGCCAACAAAGGTCAGTGGCAGAAATATGGTGTCTAGCAGAGTCAGCCTATGGTGCCCAGCACAAGGTGGCATTGCACGGTGATGGCTGGTAGTGGCAGTGACCGGCCCCTGGCTATGTCAACTGTGGGCATCCAGCATTACCTGGTGTCATCTGCTGACATCAGGGCTGCCCTCAGAGCTGCATTTTGCCAATTCACAATTTCCATCTGAATTGAGCCAAAGAACCCTAAGCCGATAAACTGTCCTTCCTTAAACTGTGGGTGTTGGGTATTATGTCCCAGCAATG